TCTGTCAGCTATACCTACAGTGTCCATAGAACACTCAGAGGAAACAGAATTTGATCTGAAACTAGGTCTTGAACCTGCTGGTGCAAACAGGGATTGCCGTGTTCACGGTAACTGAATATGAAGTGATCCCACATCTCAGCAAGGAGACTGGTTTCAATGAAGCTAAGAAAACTCTGTTCCCAGAGCAGAATAAGCTGGGCCAAGCAGAAGAGTTTGGGCTACATGTTATACAGCAAGCAAACAGGCAAGGTTTCTCTGCAGGGCAATGGTAAGAAAATGGCTTTTGAGTAGCTAAACATGGCACCGAATTAGTGTAAGAATAAAAGCTAAAGAATGGGAGATTCATTAGGCTCTAACTCATTTCTCCCTTAAAACCGATGGCTTTGTTCATACTCAGGTGGTGGTTTTCATTTTGTGCAGGAGGTTTCTAAAAACTAAAAACAGCACTTTCTGGCCTGAAACCTCTTACATCTGGATTTGTAGCTGCTTGTAACCTGAACAATCAGGGAGTTGGTGTGTTATGGCCTACAGAAAGAAGGCAGGAGTTTGAGATGGAAGGAAGAGGAAGGCCATGTGAAGTTCTACAGAGCTTTACAACTCAGGGCTGTCTTATCAGAATATGTATAGTTTGAGGCCATTCCTGAACAAATATTTCTTATAACCTGATAATGTTCAAATGTCATTCTTCCTCCAAGGGTTCGGGTACTGGAGGCTTGTTCTCCAAGGTCATATTAAGTGGGGATGCCTAGCAGCAAGTAATTAGGTCACTTAGGGTGCAGTCTTTGGAAGGGCTTAGTGTAGCACCCACAGGACCTTGCTTAGTTCCTATAAGACTGGGTCATTATCAAAAGAATAAGCATTAATCCTGAATCCCTCTGGCTTTCTATCTTGCCATATGATCACTCTTGCACACCCCCCTGCCACCTTACCATCTTCCATGGTGTGAGGCAGCCCAGGGGACCCTCACCAGACGCCAAACAGATGAGACCATTTGATCTTTACTTTTAGTCTCCAAAAGTGTTACCTAAATTAAGACCTCTTTATAAGGATTCAGCCTCAAGTATTTTGCTATAGCAACAAAAAATAGAGTAATATATAAAGAAAGTTATGTTCACATTTATTAAAATCTTGGTTGTGCTGCCATATTTGTACTTTGTTCTTTTTTATTTGTGGTTGACTCTCACTAACTTTGGAGAGAGCAGGTAGAACACAGCTCTCAGTGCACTACTGTGCTGACTGAACATCATCCTACAGCCCAGTTTCCCCCTCAGACTATCCCCAGACAGAGAGGCCTCTCTGATAGTCACTGGAATGAAGGCAAGACCTGCATTTGGATTGGGTCACTTCTTATCAGGAAAACCAAGCCTAAGAACTGCGAAGAAGTAGCTAATGGCTCCTAAAAATCTTTTATTAGATCCAAGGACATTCAGAGCTTAGCAGGAGAGATCACAGTTTTAAAAGATCCAATCACTTAAAGATTTAATGACTACAAGGAAGCAAGCTGTGATAATAACAATAAAGGCACGAGGGAGACCCCCAGATGGCAGTGGAGATCTGGAGACCCCAGATGGCAGTAGAGATTCCTATTGGATTGAGGGGTGGGACACGAGATCATAGGGCTTTCAAAACAATCTTGCCATTAGAAAGGGTTTTTAGTTCCTTCTTTTAGGATTATCGTTTGAAATTTAAGGTCACCCTTGCTCTGCATCTGCACAAAAATAATTGAACACAATAAAGTGAGATCTGGAAAGTGCTACTGAGCTTTTTTATTCTAATCCGTGATTCGAATCGGGCAAACACAAGAGCACTGTACATCTGGTGGCTGAGACTTCCTTAGGTGAGCTGCACTCACCACCCTCACACAAGTGGAACTAGCTTGCAGGGAGTCTGTGCTTAGTTAGAGTCTTTCCTCATACCCCTAAAACTGGCTGTATTTGAATAGATGAGACCAGGTTGCTTCCCTCCTTCCCTCTCATTCTGTCTTCCTTCATCCTCCCCCAGCCAATGCTTTAATAATTATAAATCAATCACTGCATAAACCTTTAGAGCTTTCCGCATTTACACACCCAAACTCTCCTGCACACTCTGAAAGCACTCATAGCACCTTAATTGTGGGGTATTAAAATCTTTAGCTCCATGACATTGAGGTTCCCCCCCACCTCAGGAAAATATTCCAAGTGGCATTTCACTAAGAAATGAGAGATTTAGCTTCCCCAGTCCAGAGAAGTAAGTATCACATCTTGAAACTCTATGGATCATTAAAAAAAAAGCAGTGTAAATTTCTGTGAGTGGACAAAGGAGGTGTGCGGTACATACAGAGTGATCTGAGCAGTTGTTTGGATTCAAAGAACAGAGAGGTTTTATGGCCCCTTTCTGTGCTTCACTCATAAGTGCTGACAAGCAGGTAAACTGAGCAACGCACAGGAGACTGGAGCCCCAGCCATGGAAAAGGGACCCTGTGCAGAACACCTTTAATGCTAATGATTGTGAGGCCTACATGTGGTTTCACCAATTAAGAGATGCCTTTTTTTTTTTTTTTGGAAATATGATGTCAAAGTAAGTGTTAATAGCCAAAGAGAACAGCAGGGAACTCTCTGTGCCAATGGCTTCAAATTTTTATTTTTCCATTATAGGGAATTCTCTCCCCCGCCTCCTTAAAAAGCAAAGTCCTTTTGCCTGTTGTCTACAGTGTGAGGCAGGGTGGCCAGGAGCATTTCCCCTACCCTAAATTTCCCTCACATGTACATTTGTGTATACACAACTTAGCATTCTGCTCCTTAACTACCTTCCTAGATTTTCAAATCCACCACTTTTACCTTTGACCTTAGTTCCAGTATGAAGCAGATTTTCCAAGATGCAATTTCTTAAATTGGTGGCAATTATTTTTTTAATGATTAAAAAAATCTCAAAATAACGATAGGTCCCTAGCTATTTTCTTTTGAGAACTTAAGTAATTTAATGGGGATGAAGGGGTTTAAAAAAAAAAAACTTTTATGGCCAGGTGGCTCTAGGGGATATTTTGTTGAACACTGATTAAAAATAATTTCTTCTAAATGAGACTTGACCACAAAATGGAACCATTAATGGGTAGGGACATTGTCACCAAAGCGGAAACCATGGCTGATTGCCTCTTGTACCTCCCACCACACAAGCATTTTCTTCTTTTTCTTCTGCTTTTCTTGTTCTTAATAGCAGAGTAAATAAGCAGCCAGTGAGGCCTAAATGTTTTCAGCCAAAAACAGAGTCCAAACTCCTCAGAGAAAACATTTGGCCTCTGTGGTTTTGTAATATGTTCCAGAACACCGAGTTCAGTGAGGAACATTGTGAAAAACTCCATCCACTGGAATGATGGTGGGGAATGTTACAGTATCAGAAATTTCAATTGGTCCTTTTCCTGCAAGCCCATAATGAGGCTTGTAAAAAAAAAAAAAAAATAGTGCTATGTGGAAGTTCTCATGGGAAAAATGAATGGCAAGAAATCCTAGCTTTAAAAGAAACAGCTAATCTGCTAGTTTGATTGTTCTTCAAAACTTACACTGAACCAATGAGCCTAATTAAAAACACTTGGCCTAGTTCTATAAACCATCATAGCTTTCTCTATGCTTCGTTTGTATACACCACAAAACTCCAGATAGACTATTATTTTTTCAAGTGCTCACTAACAAAGTGCTGACTTTGTTGGGATGGCTGAGCTAATTTCTTGAACTCAGTGTGAAACCTTAGCTAAACAAAATTGTGGTAATTTTCCTTAATTTGTAAAAGTGATTGGAGTGCAAACAAAATTTTCCTCTTGGGTCAATCCTATAATTTTCAATTAACTAAAACTAATCGTCAGGCAGGCACCAAACCTGCATTTTGTTTAAAGGGCTGGGAGGCATTTCCAAGGGTCAAGATGTATTCATTGTTTTTATCATTTTGAGAGAGAAAGAGACAATGACGAACAACAATGTTCAGATGTTCAGTTTTGTTTCCGGTATTAAAATAGAAGGGAAAGATGCTCTGAGGTAAAATGTTACAGCAAAATAAAGTCTGTCCATTTCATTGTTTGGTTATAATTAGAATGTATTAACGGAGCTATCCTTTCACTGCACTGAATGTCTTTGTGTGAAATCAACTTCCCCTCTGTCCTTATCTGGCTTTATTGTCTTTTCTTAGGTGCAGAGGAGAACTGGAACCAGTTCATAGTGGTGACTAGCCAGATATGACAAACATTCACCACTCCATGTGTGACCAGCACCATAACTTTCGTCTTTGCCTTCCACTGAGTTAGGGTGGGGAGTCTCGGGTTCTACCCAGAAATGTATCATTGGAATCTGACTTGGGAAAAGGACTCTGGGTGTTTGGTCTGCAGACTACAATCTGGGGGCACTCAGACCACGCACTGGCATGTTCCCACATCCTCCTGCCTTTCCAGATCCTGCCTGGTTTGCTCTGTGTGATGGGAGGGAATTCACAGTCACCCTGTAACCCTAGCTTCCTACCACAAGGCGGGTCCATGTGCCAAAGCTGTTCTCAGAGCACAAAATGGAGTTCACCAGGAAAGAAGGCACTGACCCAGAATCAAATATAAAAATTACCATTGTATTTAATACAAATGTTATGTGCAGGCTAGAAGTAAGTACACTAAAGTTCACTGTTCGTTAAAGTGCACCTCTATACCACAAAGCAAATAAACCCCCAAAAGCTGGCTTAATATACAGAGAGACCACAGAGTTAACTAGCGCCTCTTTTCCCTTCTGTTATTTCTCAGGCTTCTTTCCGTATCCAAACAGTTATTTCAACAGATCCTGCCATTCATCGGGGTAACTAGATAAATCCTTAGTAATAATAACAATGGCAACAACAACAGTAATAATACAACTCAGTGAGCCAAGGGGGGCACTACAGTAGGTCTTAACAGAAACTAGTGCTTTGACAAGTACACACACACACACAAGATAAAGCAAAGGACCCCAGAGGGCCCAGGCAGCTATGAATTCACTGTCTGCTATGGCTCTTACCTGTGTAGATGAATCTGCCCGGGGTCCCTTTGCAGAACTGCTTAGATTTGTAGGACAGTGTAACTTCCACAACACCAGGGATGTGCCGAGGAGGTGTCTGCACACGGATGGCATGAGGAGTAATCAACTGGAGGAGACATTTTTGGAGGAAGAATGGTCACTGCAACAGGCAAAGGACTCATTTCACAGTTGTCTTATCAGCTTTCCATAAATGAAGGTTTAAAACACATAATTGACCTGTCAATGTTTAAACATAATCTCGATAGAACCTGAATATAAGAGACACTGGCAACAATATTCATAAGTGCTCTAAATACAACCATAACAACATTATCTGAGTTTTCCTACACACCAGGCACTGTGCTTCCTGGTCTGAAAAGGGAACCTGGGCTAATGAAATGGCTTATCTACTACAGGATATCCTTTGGAAAATCTCTGTTTGAAGCAGACACCCATATCAGAGCTGAGCTCTGCCATGCCCCTCCTGAAGCTGATGGGCCTGGTGTTTGAACTGCGCCCTGAAACACACGGGAAACCCAGAGGGAGAAAAACAGGAGGCCCAGGCACTCAGAGGAGCTGCAGAGCACAAGTATGAAATGCTCCGGGAGACCGTATGGTGCATTAACTACCAGAGGCTCCATCAAAGGACTTTCCAGGGGAAAACCAAGAATCTGCCTCCCTGGAACAGCTTATGGATCTGGCATAGCTAAGGACCCTCCATAAAAGGGAAGTGGAAGGTGGGGAGAGCACTGTAGAGCGGTTGGTCTCTGGCCCATGATGCACAGCCACGTGCACAGTGAGAACGTTCATTTCTGAACTCTGTTGGCAATCAGATTACACTGTGAAGCAGAATTTCGTTTTTATTACTCTTATCTCTGTTTATATAACTAAAATGTTATTAATGGCCATAAAATGGGCATTATCTGGTTCTTTGAAAAACCCAGCCCTGGTATTTGACTGGTTGACCTCTGAGAGGCTGGATTCTCTGTGTTCCTGCTCCATGAGGTCACCCATTGCCCACTCTGGTTCCTCTCAAACGCACTTAGCTAAGGCCATACACAGTGGATCCGGTGTACAGTCTATAATGAGTATATTCTGGTTTATGCTCCTGCAGTTCTCGTAGGGATAAGTGAGAAAGGACTTTCATTTTAATGTGCAGAATAGGCCCAATTCAAGGGTTTTACCCAAAGAATTACAGGTGCCACAATGAAAAGCCAAATACAGCCCTAGAGTCACCCCAGCCCCTGTGTAAAACTGCCCTAAAGCCAGGTCCTGGGGAAAAGAACGAAAGAAAGTTGCGGCAGGTGAAGTCCATATGTGATTTCTGTTAAATATTCCTACTTGAAACAGAGAAAAGGCATCAGGATAAAACTCATCTCAATATAGGAACCAGAAATACCTTAATATTTTCCAAGACCATACACAGTCTGAGCTGATTTGCTAAAGATACCTGCGGAAGATCATGATTATACAGAAGTCCTCGAGACTGAGGCAGTTTCCAGGGCTGAGTGAATGTCTTCGATAGCTGAGGGTTTATTCATAAAAGCACAAAGCATACTGTCTTTAAACTTGGTTCTTTGCATACTGAAAAATCTTCAAAATACACTGTATGCTTCGTAAAATATGTAAAGTATATATAATTTAACCTAACCTTGGTAAATCAAGATCATCATTTGGAACACCCTCTATTATGTCTTGCGATAACCCTGAAAAGCTTAAGTGATGACTGTGGTATGAAGGTTTGTTTTCATGCTCTAAATGCCTCCAAATAGCTATAATTTGAACGTTATTTCTATTTCATTCTTCTCCTTTGTCTCTTTCCTGCTGGTGTTTTTTGTACCTTCTAATCTGTGCTTGTAATCTGTAAGCATAGGAATCAGGAAATTGAATTTAATATTGTGTAGAGAACAGGAGAGGAAAGAAAGCATGGAAGGCAATAAAAGATGATCTTCCAAAATCAAGTGCATGTCAATCTCAACTCTTCAGATGGTGTTAGCTTAGGATGGGAACTAAGTCTTCTCTGGGACTTTTGTAATATCTACCCAATACTGCAGATTTTAATTTTTACATCTAACACTGATTGGATCAAAATCCTTCCCCCACACACTGTGGTACTGAGGATTGAACCCAGGGGCACTTTACCACTCAACTACACCTCCAGCTATTTTTCTTTCTTTCTTTCTTTCTTTCTTTTTTTCTTTTCTTTTCTTTCTTTCTTCCTTCCTTCCTTCCTTCCTTCCTTCCTTCCTTCCTTTCTTTCTTTTTCTTTTTTTGAGATAGGGTCTTGCCAAGTTGCCCAGGTTGGCCTAAAACTTATGATCCTCCTGCCTCAGCCTTCTGAGTCGCTGGGACAACAGGTGTGTACTACAGTGTCCAGCTCAATAGTGTATTTATAATCCCTTTTATCAAATGTGAAAGCAGACTCTGAAGATGGTTACATTGGTTACATCACACATCCCTTGTAATCTGCAAAATAGCCCTACAGAATAGCATAGGAGACTGGGGTGTAACTAAGAGCATGTGCTTAGCACCTTGGTTTAATCCCCAGTACCAAATAAGGAGAAGGAGGACGAAGAGGGGGAGGAGGAGCAGGAAGAGGAAATCACAGAGCAGATGGAAGGACAAATCTTCCTTCTCTTACTCATGGAAGAACTGCTCATATGGAAACTTTTTATAGCTAAACGTTTTATAATTTTAATAAACTAAAGTTTTTCAGATCCAAAGACTATATGTTTAGCTTTTGTATTCCCTTGTCATCTCCATTTTTCATTTACTGCTCCATCCTTTACTGCATTTCTGAAGGTAAAAACTGCCGTGTTGTTATGTATGAAATGTGAGACGCTTCTACTTCAAGAGTCACTTAGGATGTAGAATAGCATTCGTTCCCAGTGATAATTAGAAGAACTTTTGGCCAGACAGAAACAATTCCCCTGACTTTCCTTTTCTTGAGGGAACTCAAAATTTTAAATATGGGAAGATGTCAGTAAGTAGATGGGTGAAAAATCTTTTAAGTCTAAGAACTTATTGCTTACGAGTTGTAACATTAAGGAACAAGATTTATGGGCTTTATAAATTGATTAGATATGACCAAGATGAAACTAATGAGAAACTAATAATGAGATAAATTTTAACATAAAGCACTATGCTCAGGAAATACACGCAAGTTTTCATTTACAATTTCAATTTCAATTTTAATCAATCACCCCAACTAAAGCAGATATTCCTTCTTGAAACAACTACCCTTCACAAATGAGGTTAGAGTCTGAGTCATCACAAGTGAAGGAATTAGTTAATATTTCCCCCACAGTGGATATCATTCTGTGAACCGTCTGTAGCACTGACACATGATATTGATGATTTACAGAGGAAAAACATTCCCACTAACTTCTACCGTTGGAATGCATAGGCTTATTGACTGTAACTCAAAGAATCATGTAATTATCGCTAGAAGCAATGCTAGTGGTCACATACAACTAATCCCTTCATTTTAACAGCTAAGGACAAGACAGGACAGGACAGGACAGGACAGAAGAGGCTACTGGTTTCAAAAAATGACCCAACACCTTAAGAGAACGATAAGAATCTAGAAGCCAAGACCTTCAGATCAGACCCCAGCATCACTGTCACATGCTGTCCCAAGCCGGCTGCACTACAGGAAACGCTGACAGCAGGAGGTGGGGCTGCACTAAACCCGACTTTCTTCAACCCCTGCACTGCACTCGGCTTTCTGGGCATCATCACAGCTACATGTCACCTGTGCAGGTGCCGATTTAACCTTTCTTCTTAAAAATTGAGTAACATTTAAAAAATTTTTTATTTTATAAAAAAAATGATATCACTGTCATAATTAAGACTACTAAGAAACTGTTGTACACAATAAGTTTTCTTTTCAGTACCGAGAACTACACTCAATAATCAGCATATCCCCAGCAATTTTTTTTTTAATCTTTTGAGACCAGATCTCACTAAATCACTCAGGGTGGGCTTGAAATTGTGATTCTCTTGCCTCAGCCTCCTGGAGTACTGGGATTACAGGTGTGTTCCACTACAACTGTCTTGAACACAGGCAGTTTAAAGCTTAAAGTTTAAATTCTAGTTACAAACTCTCAATACCCGAAGCAGCCTGTTGAGAAAGGAGGCCAGTTAGTATTAAATATTAAAAACTTGTTGGCACCTGTTGACTTCTTTTGCCCTTAACATAAATCAGAGGATAAAAAGAGAACAAAAAGATAATAACTTTTGCACTATAAGATTCAATTCTACTTCATGTCTGTATGAAATCCAAAACTGTCCCCTATACTACATGAGAAACATGTTTTGCACTTTGGGAAGTACTGTTCTAGGTGATTAGAGGACAGATTCACTCTTTTGACTTAACTGCACAGCATCCAAAACTACTTCTCCCTCCTTGGAAGGCTTTACTTGCTGAACTTTTGAGATGCTAGTTATATGACTTACAAAAGTAGTACCTTTTATAATTTATCTCTGTAAGATTTGTATTCAAGGTAGTAAAACTTGACAGAAATGTCAGTTAAACTATTAGTATTTGAAACACTTAAAAATAAAATATTTTTTTTAACCTGTAAATAAGATTTTTCCCGAACTCTTCTCTTAGTTGTTGCTTCATGATTAGTTTGATTTTCCCCCTCTGCTCCATGTTTCTGCTGGCTTGCTAATTATGGAAATTTCAGTTCTATCCTTTTTCTTCTTTATGTATACGTCCAGACTTTGGTCAACTGCCTCAGCTGCGCTGACTTTCCAGTTTACACCTGTTGACATGTTCCCTTTGGCCAAGCACCAGGTTTTATTTCAGAGCCCCCAGAATCTCCCCAAATATCCTTCTTCCAACTCAAGGCCAGTGCGGCCCCAGTGACCACCTTGCTCCTGTTGCTACCTTTATATTCCTTAAGCTTCTCTTCCATCACCGTAAAGGGAATGCTATCCTTCCAAACACTCAAAATAGAGCCACATTAATTACTGTCCTCACCAGACCCCCGGCTCCTCTTTGGTTCTCTACTTTCTCCTGTGTAGGCCACCACCCTTTGTTGGGTTATCAAAATACTATGATGGCTTCTAAATTGTCTCGCTCGACCTCTGTTTTCCTGCCAAACGTTACCTTCTTCAAAT